TGTGTGTGTGTGTGTGTGTGTGTGTGTGTGTATGTATTTAGGGGTTTAGAACAAATAGACTGAGAAATGGGGCTAAATGAAGACATTTGGGTGAGGAGGGAGTTATCAGCGGGTAATCTCAAGAACCTTTATTTTTTATTGTGGTAGAATATATATAACATAAAATAACCCCTTTTTAACCATTTTTAAGTGTATGATTCAGTGATATTAAATGTACTCACTGTGTTGTGCAACCTAGACCACAATTCATTTCTGGAACTTGTTCATCATCCCAAACAGAAGCCCTGTACCCGTTATATAATAACTCCCCATGCCCCAAGAACCGGTTTTTGAATTGCAGTTTAATTTGCGAGGCAGCTGGGGATCATTTATTTAGCCTTTTGGAAGGAGCAGGTTGGGATCAGAGTCTGAGCATCAGAGGGCAGGAAGCTGCTTACCAGAGTCCAGGAATGATGTGGACTATGTTTAGGAATGAATTGTGAGCAGCATCATAGAAAGGAAAAATGATAGGACATTGCAAATAATTTGGAAGATAGGAATGGAGATGCCATTCAGTCTCCCAACACCTAAGTAAGAACTGTCTATCATCAGTACATGCTTACTGAGCATCTGCTGTATTTGGTGTGTTTCTAAGTCCCTGGGAAGAGACATCAGAAGTAGCCCTGACCTTCCGGTGCTTATGTTTTAGATAGGAAATAGTGCACGTAAAAAGAAACTAATCTGACATACCACTCTGCAGGCAAATAACAAAGATGTTCAAATAGATGTGCCTTCCTCTAGGTAAATGACTTGAAATGACCATGTGTGAAGTGTGGACTGGGATTTTTAAAAATCATACACATACAGAAGCTAATTAAAGCCATCCATCCCTTCCTTAAAAGGGTGCATATAAAAGAAATTGAAATGACCATGTGTGAAGTGTGGACTGGGATTTTTAAAAATCACACACATACAGAAGCTAATTAAAGCCATCCATCCCTTCCTTAAAAGGGTGCATATAAAAGAAAAGTAGGGTCCTTAACTGAGCTGTGGGGAGAATTTGGAATTCAAGGGCATGAGAAGGGAAGGACTGAAAGGGAATGCCAGAGACGAGGTAGGGAGAAGTGGTGTCCTGCGGTCAAGGCCTATCACCTGGAAGATGACAGCACACCCTCCCAGAGTTCTGTGACAACCAGAAGAGGTCCTCAGAGACTTTTTTTTTTTAAGTGGAAGCTGCAGGGGTCAAAGAGTCAGTGGTGAGCATGTAAAGGTGTAGACTGTTCAGCTAACCTTCACTGAACACATTTTATGTGCCAGGAAAGAAACAGGATCAGCACAGCAGGTGCAGTAAATTACTAGGTTTGTGTTGGTGTTTTCTAAATGTGTTAGATTTATCACTGGGAATGTGCAAGGTGATTTTAGGTAGTACATGGACAAACTTTAAAAACATTTAATAGTTTAATATTAACTAGCTTATCAAAACCTGTGACTCACAGATGTTATTGTTAGAACTAAGCAGAGGAAGGTATATTTAAAATTAAAATTTTGAAACTATTGCAAATTTGTGAAAAACCTGACATGGTATCAGTCAGGTTCTTAAGAGAAATGGAACCAGTGGAATATTTACATACATCCTGTAATATAAGTTCACACATAAAACTAACCATTATTTACAGTTTAAACAACTTTCTTCCTAATCATGTGATACACATACACACACATTGAATATATATAGCATATGTACGCATAAAATATATATGCACACATGAATATGTGTGTGTGTATATATACACATATACATATTTACTTCATGCAGTTGATTTTGTGGGGGCTGGTAAGTCTAAAATCTGTAGGGTGGGCTAGTAGGCTGGAAATTCTTGGGCAGGAACTGATGGTGCTGTCAGATTTTCTTCCTCAGGGAAACCTTGGTTTTGCTCTTAAGGCCTTTCTACTGACTGGATGAGGCCCACCCAGGTTATTGAGGATAATTTCCTTAAAGTCAACTGATTGTAGATGTTAACTACATCTACAAAATACCTTCACAACAACACTTAGATTAGTGTTTGAATGAATAACTGGGTGGTATGGCCCAATCAAAATGACACGTAAAACTAACTATCATGTAGTATAATAATTTTTTTTCCCAAGTCATTTGAAAATAAGTTGCCAATCTGATGCCCCATTACCTCTCAGTGCTTTAATATGTATTTTCTACAAAGAGGGCATTGGACCATGAACTACAATAAAACCATCAAAATCAGAAAATTAGCAATGGTACATTACTGCCATCTAATCCTCAGACCCCATTCAAGTTTCACCAATTGTCCCAATAAAGTTTTTTAGAATAAAAGGATTCAGTTCAGGATCACACATGGAGTTTAGTCATCCTGTCTCTTTAGTCTCTTCAATCTGGATCAGTTCCTTAACTTTTGCTGGGCTCTCATGACCTTAACAATTCTGATTAAAGGCCATTTATTTTGTAAAGTTTAGATGTGTCTGATGTTGCTCATGTTTGGATTCAGGTTGTAGATCTTTGGCTGGCATATCACAGACCGGGTACTCTGTTCTTCCCATTACATCGCAACAGTTGACTCTTTCAATTCATCACATTCCTGATGATGAGCTCTTCGATCACTTGATGAAGGTGGTGCCTGCCATGCTTCTCCACTGTGGAGTCACTCCTCTCCCCTTTGTAATTAAATAAGTATTTAGTGGGAAGGTACTTTCAAATGATGGAAATATCCATTCCTCATAAAACTTTTAACATATTTATTTATACCTATGTGGACTTGCATTTTCCTATTTCTATCTGTTACTGTCATTATTTATTTTTATACTCAAATTGTCCCCAAGTTAGCCAATGAGAACCTCATCAGGTGGCTTTTATGTCCTTTTGACATATCCCCATCATTCTTTGGGTACTTTTTTACTTTCTGATACAGCAAGATGTTCAAACTTTTTTGGTACTTTTACATTCTCTGCCCCAGCCCTGGCATTAGTCATTTCTCCAAGGGGCCCTGTTCCTTTTAATGGAAAATGGTGCTTAGAGGCTAAGATCTGGGCACTCACTGCATATTCTTGTTGTTACTGGGTGTCACTGCTCCCAGACACCTTTCAGTGGACAGTGCTAAAGAATACATGTATGTGTATACAATACACCTGTTTACACACATATGTACTCACGTGTGTGTGCACAGACATATATACATATACACATTTACGTCTATATTTATTTCTATATCTTCATATACTGAAAACCGAGTTCACACCAATACCTCCAATACCAGTCCAGCTTCACAGAGTTCGTTTTAGTTTTCACCCTTTCCATGTTTGTAACTCTCTTCTCTGACATTATACCCTTAATATTTTTCCTTATTTTAAGCATCGTATGCATCTAAATTCACTGTCTTTGTTACCATCCCACCTACCCTTGGTGGATCCAGATAGCCTACTCCAGGCCACCTCTACCTGTGGAGGTCTTCTCACCCTGTATGGGCCCATGATGGCCTACACTGGGCTGGTTGCTGCCCTCTCTCTGCTGGGCCTGGCATCCTGTCTGGGCCACCATGGTTCTCTCTCCCTACCACCTGGCATACGCTTGACTCGTTCACCTCTACCTAATGGCTTTAGGACGGAATTATCCAGGAAAGGAAGGTGAAGAAGAAGAGAAAGACATTTAGATGTAAAGAAAGTGAATTTAATTTAAAGAAAGTTGTTAAGTAAACCACTGAGCAGGTAATATATGGATCTGGCAAAAATTGTGAGCAAAGTAGGTGAGAGATTGAGATTTGTGGAATGCCAGCCTAAGTGATAGCTTTTTTAAAAAAAAACTAGAAACATCAGTTTAGGCTTAATGACAGAAGAAAGTCAGTTTTTTATACTGTAATTGTCTAAGGGGTTTCTTTTTCTCCTAGGTTTCCTTTTTTGAGGAAGAACGGAACATACTATCTCGGAGCACAAGCCCTTGGATCCCTCAATTACAGTATGCCTTTCAGGACAAAAATAACCTTTATCTGGTGAGTCTTTACATCCATCTCTCTGGAATTAGCCTAGCACTCTGATTCTCTGTAGAACTGAATGCGGCTCCTGCCCATGTGGTCCATGACACCTCTCATTCTTTCATTTTCTTTCCTGACTTTCAGGTGTTCCCTGTTCTCCTTGTTCTCAAGGTTAAGGGCTGGCTCATTTCGAATCAGCCTCATTGATTGTTGAGTATTAGAGTTGTGGCTTCAAGGGCAATAATAAGAAGTTATTTATTTGGGAATAGTCTGTTATTCCCTTTAGTAGGACCTTGCTTAAATTTTTGAAAATTAAGATAATACATGGTTGTTATAGGAAAATGCAAGCACTGCAGAAGTGTATGAAGTAGAAGGGAAAGTCCTTTACTCTCTTTTCTAATCCCTCTCCCTAGGAAAACAATTGTTAATGGTTATGTGTGCTCTTTCTGACCCTTACTGTGCCTGTGGCGGGGGAAAAATTCTGTATACTCATGAATACAGTTTGTTTTACAGAAATGGTATGTTACTCTCTGCTTGGCTCTTCAGCTTGCTTTTTGCCTTTCAACAGTTTATCCCAGACATCCTTCCATGTCAGTACATACAGATGTACTTCATTCTTTTGAACGGTGGCATAGTTTTCCTTATGTGCGTGTAGCATAATTTACAGAATGATAAAATTCATTTTGGGGCTTTGTTTAGGTTCTTGAGGGATTAGATTCCTAATTTAAAAAAGTTTATCCTAGAAACAATTTTTGTTCCTAATTCGGCCCTTAAAACAGGACTATCATGTTACCTTGAATGGAGATATACTTGTACAGAGACTCACATAAGAGAAAAAGGGGAGAGATGCACTCTTATCTGTCTTGAACTTCTACTGGGCATTTTTTGGGGACTTTACTGCCTTTATTTCTGACCTGGAATAAACAGTTTATCTGCTTAGGTTTCATATTAGTTGAGAATGCAGTGCCTGTAGATAAGTTCTCCTGGCCTACCCAGCCTTCTGAGCAAGGACATTGTATATGAACGGCTCAGGAGACTGGCCTTGAACTGCCCAACCCCATGCTGTTGTGTTTATGGTCTGAAACTTCCTTTCCTAGAATATTGTCATGAAGCTTTCCTCTCTTGAGACCTGGTGCGTAGAGCCCTCACCTTCACAAATGACCCTGGTGTGTTTCCAGGGTCGCTGATGTTCTAGGATATTTGTTGCACATGCAACGTTTGTTTTGTGCCATCTGTATCTTGCGGAGCCTCTCTTGTTTGGATGTATTAACAGGCTTCTTCATTAGCCTTCAGAAATGCAGTTCCCTTGAGACAGCAGGGTTTTTGTTTTGTTTTGTTTCTTGTTTGTTTTTTATTGTTGTTTTGGATATTTTAGTTAGACCTCTGCAAGAGACTCAGAACACCAGCTTGTGAGGGTAAACTTCATTTTCAAGGTAATACAAAACACAGGCAGTCCTGGAGTTAGGAAGGACTCTGATTTTTTTGGCAAAAGGGGAGAGTCCACAGTTTTGTGGTCTGTGTTGCACTGCTCCATAAAATCATATTTCTCTTTCTCTGGGTTGAAGAGCTCACCAGTTTTTTTACATGGTGAATGTAGTGTTTTTGTTGTTTTTCTTTAAGCCACATCTTCAAGAGGGTACTACCTAGGCATTTTGAGAATTTCCTAGTCTCGCTGGGCCAGGGTTGAAGAATCTTCCCTTTCTTTTTCTTCTTAATTGAGGATTTATAGCTGTCATGGTCTTCTGCTTGAACATAGCCTTCCTGGAATACCTCTGGGATTGGGAATATCTGCTGGTTCCTCTGCTAGGACAGGCTCTCAGCTCCAGGGGGCTTCCTTTCTTGGGCCTTTTGGCTCTGGGGCTTCCCTCTTGATCTTGCCACTAGCATCAGCATCCTTAGCTTAATGACTTTCTTCAGTTTTCCACCTGCCATCTTGCAAGATGGGAAAGTTCTTAAAATAGCTGTTTTTTGTAGTTCTGGTTGCCTCAGCACATTGATACTTGTGTTCAATGACATTTTTACACCCTTCTTTAGTAGCTCAATTGAGTATTACTCATGAGATCTTGCAATTATTTCCTTGTCTGCATTTTTTTCTCATGTACTGTGGAGTAAAATACTAAGGGTATAGTTTTCATATAAAAATCCAAATTTAGCATAAGAATTAAGATGTAATCATAGGTCCACCATCCCTTGTCTATAATTCTGAAATACCCAGAGCTCTGAATAACCTCAAATTCTCTTGTTACTTGCTCAGCAGTAAAACCTGATTTGACAGTTTGTAGCAAAAATCTAATCTGAGCTCTCTTAAGGCTGTTTATAGACTTTATTCATTCCCTTTAGTGTAACTATTCACATACTTTGGTGCAGAATTGTGAATGTGTTTGATTATGAGGTGATGTCCTAGACCTTACTGAGGGTGTTATGTAATATAAACTATATGCACCATTTTACTTTTCTAAAATCTGAAAAATTCTGAATTTGGAAATACATTCTGTTGCAAGATAAGAGGATCCTAGATCTATACTGGCACTGTAAAGTACTGAAATTCCATTGTACCTACTGACCACCTACAGATTACTAAACCTTTGAAGTTTGGGGAAACGTATGTCCTGCTTCCCTGGCTGTTGAACATTTATTTGTAATGCTAATATAGTTTAATTGAAGACACATTTTAAATCAATTAAAAAATAGGATTCTACCTCCTGTATATCTCCCCTGGCTGTCTCTTTTCTCTAGTCCTGCTTCTACTGTGTAAATTCAAGTCTCCATCTCTCTTGCCTGCATTACTGTGAAAACCTCATAAGTGTTCTCCCTGCCTTCTGTCTTGCCCTCCCTGAAGGTCTTCCACATACTACAATCAAGTCAGTCCACTGTTAAAACCCTTCAAGACTCCCTGCTGTTCTCTGGATGAAGTCCAGACTCTTCCTCACGGCTTACAAGGCCTTTCTCACTTAATGCCTCTAGCCTCATCACTTACAATTTCTCTCCTCTGACTTTACATTCATCCTGAACTTCCTTTGGTTCTTTAACCTTGCCTCTGATCTTTCTGCATGCTGTTCACTCTTTCTCTTTTTATCTGACTAATTCCTATTTTTCTTTCTGGGCTTGGATCAGATGTCACTTCTAGAAACCCCTCCTGGACCCTCTACTTCTGGGATGGTGACCTTCTGCTGTGCACTCATAACACCCTGTATGTCCCCTTCATGAGTGGGTGTTGGTCTCTTCTGCTAGGCTACTTCCTCCAGGAGGGGAGCAATTATGTCTACCATGCTCCCAGTAGGGCTTCACCAAGTAAATGCTTAACAACTATTTATTGGATAAATGCATGATTAATTTCATAGAAATTTGATTCACATACAAATTTTCTTATTGTGTTACAGAAATCATATTATGTTAGCAGTGGGAGTTTTGTTCTCTAAAGTGTATAATTCAAGGTAGACCCAGTGAGATTTTCAAAATTTGGAGCACAGTGCAAGGAAATTGAACTTGAGTCCTTTTGAGTTTTGATGGTTAAAAATTTCCCATTGGCAATGACATATCAATGAATGTGGCTTACCATTTTGTGGTATATAGAAAGTTGTTGCAAACTCCGTTGTAAGTTCTGGTTCTATATAACAAGGCTAGTCCCGTATTCTGGCAGGTGGCCTACGGAAACCATGTTTTGTTGATCTGGTTCATGAAGAAATCTGTTCAATTGTGTGTAACAGATGCCTTCATCAGTGTCTTTCCATGAAGGAGCGATCTCTACAAAGAAAACACTGTTTTGCAACTCACCACTTGTAGTATTGTATCTAAATTCTTTGTGAAATTCTTTTTATTGATGTTTTTCAGAGGGTGGGTGTCTTCAGGCTGCCCTCACACTGAGCCTATAATTGTCCTCTGTACCTCCTTTTCCTGCTGTGACCTTACATTGACTTTCCTCTGTTTATCTTTTCCCCCAGGTGCACAGAGAGATGTTTTAGTTAAGGTATAGGCTCAGCTGCTATAACTAAGAGACCCCAATATACAGTACAGGCTGGTGGAGCAGCTCTGTTGTATGTGATCATTAAGAGACCCAGGTTCCTTCCATCTTGTGGCTCCTCCATCCCTGAAAATGTCCTCTTTTACATGGTTGAAGTTGGGCCATTTCATATCTTGTTACAGCTGGCTGGTAGGAGGAAAGAGCAGAAATTCAGAGCAAGCAAATTCCTTTCACACAGAATGACATGGAAGTTGTACACATCATTTCTTCTCACATTTTCTTGGCCAGAAGTTAGTCATGTGACTGTACATCTTGCCTCTAGGGAGACTGGGAAATGTACTGTCTAGCTGCATGGCCTATATTCAGCTAAAATTCTGGGGCTGGCCAGTGGTTCACTTGGGAGAATGTGGTACTCATAACACCAACGTCAAGGGTTCAGATCCCCATATTGGCCAGCTGCCAAAAAAATAAAAAATTAAAATAAAATTCTTATTACTATGAAAGAAGGGAAGGATAGAGGGAGGGAAGGGGCAATTAATAGTCTGCCACAGAGGTTAAAACAGCTACTTTTGTAGGTAATAAAAGATAGCTACAGTTTGAAGGCAGGCCCTGTAGATCTGCCTTCCATATTCTTACTTATTACATTATCTTGCTGCATCCAAAACCACTGTTAATAGGACCCTGGTTCTGAGGTCCTATTTGAGATTAGTTCTTAATATTTCTTGCCTTGCTTTCAATCCACACCTGTGCAATTTTGTGGGCAGTGTTTCCCTCCTATATAGGAAAAATTTGGAAGTGGGCTATTTCTAGGCATTGACCCCAGGGCCTTTATGAATAACAGCCTATGCTGTCATCGGGAGTCTGGAGAGAGCGAATACAACTTCATTGTTTAGTTTAGCGAAGTGTCGCAGCTTATGATCGTTTTGACAACGAGACATGTGCTGTTTCCATCTCTCAGCTAAGATTATCCGATTTTTCAGGCATGTCTCAAAACTTAACCAGGCGTGTTCATGTGTTGCTGCTTCAGAAGCCAGGGTTTGGAAACCAGCTTGCCCAT